AATTTCTTTTCCTCACCACAAAAGAAGCCAGGTTTGCATCTATTGGACAAATTTATATTAACATTGCTGATTGCCTCTGCATGTGTCTGCTCTTGAGGTTTTCCTTTAATTGGTTGTAACGTGTTACTGTTTCTCAGATTAAATAGTGAGCAAAATAAACTCTTTGATACGTGCTCATTTATATTGGTATGAGAGTTATGATTTTACCCTTTAAAACAATGTGGCCTTTTACAATATTATTAAATGGTATGCTAAACAATTGATTTAATATAACCAAAATCGAAGGTTTATCAAACTCTTTATATGCTTAATGACAGAGTTTGGATTGTATTATGCAGAGGTCAGAGGCTAGATTCCAGTGTAGGAGATGAGGGGTGGAGATGAAAAGGGAGGGTGCAATTGCTCAGGGCAAAGGAAAACTGAGCCAAGCCATTTCTCTCTACAGACCAATGTTTGAGAGGCAGGTGGAGGAAGGGAAAGCCGTGAAAGAAACCAACAAGGAATAGTTGGAGAAGTAGGGGGAGAGAAGGAGAGGATTTCCATAAGACGCCAGCGGTCAGCAGAGTCAAATGCTGCAGAGAAAAGGCAGTGCAAAGACTAAACACACCTAAGCACACCCACTGGATTGGACCGTGTGTGGCTCTGGCCAGTGCAGTTCTTGTCAAGTGATGGAGGCAGCCAAGGAATCAGTGATGTGACTGAGAGGTGAGAATTTGAAGGATCAAGTGGGTACATCTTTGAAGAAGGCTTTAATTTGAGAGGAAGGACTTAGTTAAGAGGTGGCTGAAGATGGAGAGAGGGGATTATTAATGGGTGGAGAACCTAGTGGTTGTTGGAAAAAAGGATCTGGAACTCAGGAGCAGCCCACTGGTCTGGGGCAGGAGGAAGGACCCTAGTGCTCTGACCTGGGGGGAGGAGAGAGGGTGGACAGGGACAGACATAAGCTTGTCAGTCAGGATATGGGCAGCATAGAAGAAATTTAGAATCACTGGTCTCAACTTTCTGGATGAAGTCAGTGACAAATAGTAAGGTGAGAACTCACCAGGGAGCTTAAGGTGAGGGGGACATTCAGAGCTGTCATTGAGAGGGAACTGAGAAAGAATGGCTGAGAACAAATAGAGAGAGCACGGAGCAGCCCTGCGGGCCTCCCCGAGGATGCAATTTGCAATGGATCTGGTACGCATGGTCCTGAGATATTTTCCAGCAGAGACCAACCACTCAGGAGAGGGCCACAGATGACACACAATGGAATTGATTTTCCAGGGCTGAGGTTTACTGAGGCAAGGGCAGAAAAAAAACTTGCATGGCCAGAACAAACTGGAACTTTGAAAGATCCTGGAAGGGAAAGGTAAACTGTGGCAACTGCAGGTGTTCTGTAATGATTTGTGGCATCTGTCCTCTATGACAAAGAGTTCAGAGTGGACGAGTCCCCCTCAGAATGTGGGTTAGTTTGCTGAAGAGTAGAAACTAGGTCATGGGTCATCTGATCTGTGTAGCCTTAGGAAAATCACTTAACCTCTCTGATCAAAGTTGCCTCATCTGTCTAATGAGAGCACTGAGTCAGATCATTCCCTGGGTTTCCTCTAGCAAGTACCATAATGTTTGTGTCCAGTGGACTGTTTAGGGATGAGCTGTCAATATCTGAGGTCCTCTACCACCTTTCTTACTGGAAAACTACCATACTTCCTCAATAATCCTTGGTCTTTCCAGAAAGTTCTATCATCCATCCACCCATCCAGTTTTATATGGATTTAATAAACAAGTTGTGAATGCTCTAGGCTCCATCTACACTTCCAAGACCAGATTGTCCTAGTGGGTGGCAGTGGGGCCAATGGTCAGAGCAGAGGTTCCCTCCACCTTGTCTGCCTGGCTAATCATTTCACATCCTTGCAGAGGCTGGTGTGGATCAGCCAATTAGATGACCTCCTGCAGTGCAATCAGCTTTGTTTTCAATAAGCAAACACATTAATGCCTATTGATCTCATCTGCTCTTTCCCTTGTAATATTATAACTTAAAAAATTATGATTAAGTATACATAACATAAAACTGACCACACTGAATATTTTAATTGTACAGTTAGGTGGTATTAAGTACATTGACATTGTTGTGCAATCATCACCACCATCTATCTTCAGACCTTTTTAATTATCTTGAAATGAAACTCTACTAATGAAACAATAACTCCCAATGCCCTCTTCCCATAGCCCCAGCAACCACTATTTTACTTTCCACTTCTATGAATTTGAGGCTACTTGTCTACGCTATGAATTTGAATTCCACTTGTCTCAGATAACTAGGACCATATAATATTTGTCCCTTTGTGTCTGGCTTATTTCGTTTAGCATAATATCCTCAATAAATCCATATCATAACATGTGCCAAAATTTCCTTTCTTTTTAAAGTGAATAATATTTTATAATATGGAGAAATCTCAGTTCATTTATTCTTCTGTAGATAGACATCCGGGTTGATTCTAGCTTTTGGATATTGTGAGTAATGCTGCTGACACAGTTTGGCTCTGTGTCCCTACCCAAATCTCATGTCGAATTATAATCCCCATGTGTTGGAGGTGGGGCCTGGCAGGAGGTGATTGGATCATGGGGTGGTTTCTAGTGGTTTAGCACCATTCCCTAGTGCTGTCTCATGATAGAGTTCTCATGAGATCTGGTTGTTTAAATGGTGTGGCACTTCCCTCCTGTCCTCTCTCTCTCTCCTGCTCCTCCACGGTGAGATGTGCTTGTTTCTCCTTCGCCTTCCATCATGATTGTAAGTTTCCTGAGGCCTCCCAGTCATGCTTCTTGTTAAGCCTTTGGAACTGTGAGCCAATTAAACCTTTTCTCATAAATTACTCAGTCTTGGGTAAATCTTTATAGTAGTGTGAAAAGGGACTAATACAGCTGCTGTGAGCCTTAAACATTTTTAAATGGATACCCATGAAATAAAAAGGAGAGAAATGTAGAATCATGAGATTTGGATATCAGAGAGACAAGAACTGCTTGCATCTATGAATCAGTAGAAAGAGGGTGTCCAGGTCAGACTACATTGACTATTTGGCTAGAAGAGAGCTTGCTCCCTGGCTGTTTGGCTTAGGGAGAGTTTGTTTCCTCACCTTGGTCTTTCAGGGTTGGGAGAGTGAGCTGCAAGACTGCCCAGCTGGCACTCTTCCTGAATGTGCAAGAATGGATTTCTCTCTGCATTCAAGGAGGCTATGCAGAAATAGGGACCTCTCAATCCTTGTGCTTTGAGGGACCATATCTTCTTCCCTCCTCTAGAAACTCTGTGTCCACATAGGCAGCATTGTGTGCTGCGGGCGGTGAGAGGTTAGAAAGTCTGTCAACTGATTGACTGGATGACTGATGTGTTCACTCACTGACTAGAACTGATGCCCTTGGGGTTCTAAGGCACAGAGGTGCAAGGCAAGGTTCATACCTTGCCTTGCGCCTCTGTGGTTCATAGGAGGACAAGGTTCATAGGAGCACAAGGTTCATTGCACCTTGAGGGTTCATAGGAGCCCTCAGTTGATAGCCAGGAGAAGAAAAAGGAGGATCTGAGAGACAATTAAGCACTCAGGTGATGCCTCCTCTAATTATTGATATTTTCTATTTGCTACCTACATTCATTGCAATTGACTTTTGAGAAGGGGATGTCATATGTATTTGGGTTCTTAGTGTCTACAGATGATCATAAAATGCCTTCCATGAAATCTTTCTATGAAAGATTCTTTGCAAATTTGAGTTAATCATAGATGCTTGAGACAAGACACAGAAAGGACTAACCATAAAAGAAAAATAACTGGTAAATTGGACTTCACTACAATTAAAACTTTCTGCCTATTCAAATATGCCATTAAGAAAATTAATATAGAAACCACAAACAGGGAAAACTATTTGCAGAGCACATATCTGAAAAAAAGTTTATATTGGGAATATGTTATTAATAAAATAATAAAAAGATAATTCAATTTTTAAATGAACAAAAGACTTGAGCAGGTACTTCACAAAAGAACATGTGTAATGGACAACAAACACAAGAAAATATGCTCACATTATTAGTTATCAAGAAAATGCAAATTAAAGCCACCATGAGATTCTACTATTCACACACTAGAGGCTAAAATTAAAAAAAAAAAAAGACAATACTAAATTTTAGTCAGGATGTGGAACAACAGGAATTCTCATAGACGATGATAGAAAAGTCGAAAGGCATAACCACTTTGGGGAACTGTGTAGTGGTTTCTAGTAAATTTAACCAGACAACTTCCTTGTGCCCTAGCAATTCCACTCCTAGGTATTTGCCCAAGAGATATAAAAACAAAAAAGACTAGCACAAACATATTCATAAGAGCCTTATTGATGATAATCCCAAATTGGAAACAGACCAAATGTTCATCAACAGTAGAATAGATTTTTAAATTGTGGCATAGTCACACACTAGAATAAACAAATGAATACACAAATGAATACATTCTGTTTGATTCCATTTACGAAGTTTAAAATCAGACAAAACTAAACTATGGCAATTGATGTCAGAAAACGTTGCCTTTGGGTCAAAGGGTGGTAAATGGACTGAAAAGGTGAATGAGAGAACTTTCTAGAGTGGTGGAAATGTTCTGTGGTTTTTCCTTGCATACACAATTGTCAGAACGCATTGAACTGATCCCTTAAGATCTTTTTATGTTTTTGTATGCTAATCATGTTGAAAGGAAGAAAGGGAGGAGGGAAGGGAAAAGGGAGAGAGGGAGGGAGGAAAGGAGGAGGAAAGGAAAGAAGGGAAAAAGGAGAGAGGGAAGGAGGAAGAAAGGAAAGAATAAGGAAGGAAAGAAGGAAAAAGGAAGGAAGAGAAAGAATGAAAGAAGGAAGGCAGGCATATAGTCTGGTTAAAGAGTTTTGAGGAAATGCTTATGCCTAGAACATGGGTGCTGTGTGGGAAAGGGGTAGGAAAGGAGGCCAGCCCTTGCTTATACAGACCAAGCTGACAATTTTTTTTTTTTTTTCTGCAGGCAGAGAGGATACCTGAGTAATTCTGTGAAGGTGAATTACATTCGTGCCTTGGAAAGGCTACCTTGATGATAGATGAGATTTGGGGAGTTGGACATCTGCTGTGACCAGAGGGCTGTTACAGAAGGGAATTTGGAGATTCCAGTTGGTTACAGGGGCACATGCAATGTTATTTTTAACCTCCCTTACAGGAGGGACTGGCATTTCTCTGGTTGCTAGGGAAATTGTGTTCTGAACTGTTACACATTGGTTCCTAATTTTAAAAGTCTTAGGGAAAACTAGAAAACTTTATGAGCCAGTACCAGTGTGTTGTGCTAGGACTGTGCACCTGCTAAAACGTGGCTATTTTTCTCTTAATGTACTCATGGGCAACTGTCACCATAGCAACAACAATGCGGGACCTTGCTGGTTCATAGCGGAGGATTCCTGTTGGTTTAGTGATGGAGGCCAGTCCAGAAGCCTGTTCAGGATTGAAGGAAGGTGATGGATTAGGTGGGATACACTGGCAGCCACTGGATGTGCAAGGCACAGGGTGGGAAGGTGTGGGCAGAGGGTAATCCGGCAGGAGGAACATAGGATTTCTCACAGCCCACTGGGCTCATCATTACTATTGGGCAAATTCCCACATTCCTTCAGCATTAGGCTAAAGTTTAATGTGACATCCTACAAGTGGCACTAAGAGAAGAATCCCGAATTGCCCGCTGACTTTGGAGTCAGACCTTGGTCAAGTTAGCAGAGCACCAAGGTATAGCTTGGGGGGTCTGGCTTCCCCATCATCCATCAGCACTGTTTTCCAGCAAAAGGAACTCGCTGCCCAATGTGCTGGAAGCCAGTACTATGACACCAGGGTTTTAAGAAAACAAAAGCTTTATGTCAAAAGTCAACTCACAAGGAGGCAAGAGTCAAGCTCAAATCTGGTTCCCCAGGCTGACTTCAAGGCAGTATTTTATTAGAAAAGGTTCAGGGGGCAGATTCTGGGATTAGACAGGGATTGGTGGAAGGAAAGGGGAGGGCTGAAAAGTCTTGGGCATGCGCAGTAACGTCTCCCTGTTGCCTCATGGGTCCCACGTGCAAATTCAGAGCGAGTTAGAATAGAACATGCGGTGGAAATTCGGGCTCTGACGTCAGCAACCTCGTTTTGCAAAAGCTCCAGTTGGCCACCTTGGTTCCAACTGAGTTCAGCTGGCCTTTCTTAATCTCACAAGCAGAGGGAGTTTCAGTGTTTCAGCAAGTTAGTTTTTTTCTTATCTACTATCCTGCAAACACGAGAATTTCTGTAAGCTCCTGGTTTCTTACTCTTTGGGGCACAGTTTCCGTTTCAACTTTTCAGCAAGTTGTTTCCTGTCTGCTGCCCTGTAAGCCCAAGAATTTAGTCATTGGTTTCTTTAATGGTTTGGGGCAGGGTGTCAGCACCCACTAGTAGTGTGGACAACTGACGTTAATCTTACGTGAAGTGCCAATAAGACGCAGCTTAGCCGACTCGCTCCATAGACAATGGACTGCACTGTCTCTGGTACAGCCCAGGCCTGTGTCTTGGTATCCCTGACCATTTCAACCCCCATTTTAGTTTTCTTTCCTCCTCACTGCCAGAAAGCCATTTTAGGCAGCTTGTGGGTGCCTTTCAGAAGCAATGTGTGTGTGAGAGATGAAGGAGGGCTTCCCTTTGTTTTGGCTTTAAACCTGTCTGTGTAAGTGAGACTGAGTGGAAAACCCCTGCTCCTCTCTCCAGCACTCCCCAAGGCAGGCAGCCACAACCTCCTCAATTGCAGATCAGAAGGGGGCCTTTGGAAATTATCCAGACCAATGAATCTCTTCATTTTTCTCCCCTGCCACATCACACATGATGGATGAAGTCCACATGCTTGACAGATTCCATGTATGCACTTATTTCGATGGAACAGCCAAAAACATTGTGTGAGGAAATAATTGTCCTCAGAAAAGGAAATAACAGCCCCTCGGCATGGGGTGGAGGCCCCTGAGTGTACTCTGCCATGACAACCCTTCCTTCCCACTCAGGATGTATTTTGAATGCAGGTAAGTTAGCATGAATTTATCTTGTACTAATCTCCAATCAACTCAAGTTGTTTTGCAGCATGAACTCATCCATACATCTTCCCCAGGACGGATAAATCACGGTGCCCCAGCAGCTCCTCTTCACCTCCCGGCTAACACCTGCTGCTGGCCCTGCAATTCTTTGGAGCCCCGTGAGTTGACTGTTCCGTCCTCAGCTTCCATACCACAACTTAACGCTGTTGAAAGAGATGGACAAGGGGATCCTGGTAATCTCTAGATGTGTGCAGCATTGATTGGTAGGAATAAGAGGTTTCTGTTTCTGTGCTCCACCCCTTCCTTTAGAATGTTGACTTTTGGCACCTGCCTCAATATTTGTATCAGAAAAATCGAGGTGTGGACATCAGCTTCCTACACATTTCCCCCAGCATCCTAGAGAGCACAAGTGAGAAAGGTAGAGACATGCCCCTCAGCACAGGCACTCACATCCCCTTCAAAGCCCTCCATGGGCTCTCAACACACTCGGAGACAGGAGCTCTCCCTGGAACTACCCTCCACATGGTTATTCTCTCAGGAGGTGGGGGGGAGGGAGCTCTCCCTGGGAAAGGAGGATCAGAATCTTCTTCTAGCAAGAAGGTGGGGGAAGAGCATTATGTGTAATAGAGACTGCACAGTCCACTCCCCCCTGCCCCGTAATTATCAGAGTCCTGCTCTACGGACTAGCAGGGGTCAGCTCCAGAGTGACATTTTTTTTCCACCTGTGCTACTGTCTGGAAAACTGTGAAGTCCAGGACTATGCGGAGAATGTCAGCCAGGATAGTGCCCAGTGTAGAGTGTTTCTTTACAGAAGTTCAAGACTGCTAGGCTGGGTGCAGGGGCTAATGCCTGTAATCCCAGTACTTTGAGAGGCAGGCAGATCACATAAGGCCAGGAGTTTGAGACCAGCCTGGCCAACATGGTGAAACCCCGTCTCTACTAAAAATACAAAAAAAAAAAAAAATTAGCTGTGGGTGATGGTGGCACCAGTAGTCCCAGCTACTGGGAGGCTAAGGCAGAATTACTTGAATCCGGGAGGTGGAGGTTGCAGTGAGCGAAGATCACGCCACTGTACTCAAGCCTGGGCAACAGAGCGAGACTCCATCTCACATTACAGAAAAAAAAAAAAAAAAGACTGTTAGCCATCTAGGAGGAGGTGGAAGGGATCACTGCAATCTGCCCAAGGTGACCATGTGTTAGTTGTGACCCTGGAGGGATAATTCCATCAATTTGAATAGGACTAGTATATGTCCATTATCACCACCATCATCATCCTCCCAATTCTTCCTGGGAAGATCATCCCTATGATCCCACAAACCTGTCGGTGAAGGTTCCTGGCAGTGGGGTTGGTCCAGAACAGAATTAAACTTGAATTTGATGGATTTAAGCCAATTTCTCTCAAGTCTCATGCAGAAAACAAGCCTTCATGTATTGTTTTGTATTTTGCTTTTTGTTGTCCTCATCTTTCCAGAGTTGAAATATCATGGAGACCCTCTTCCCAGGGAAAGAAAGGGGGAAATTTGACCGCTGGAAAGAGTGAGAGTGAGATCTCCCGACTTTGCATTCCTGAAGACTGCTTGGGCCTGGTGAGACAGGCATGTTTTGTTTGGATGCTAAATTAAGTGGAGAGGAGACCTTATGATGTGAATTTGGCAGAGGAATAAATCAAATAAAACAATAAGGCAAGCAGTTATCCAAACAAAATGGGCTTACAACCCTGGATATTAATGAGGCTTTTACTTTAAACAGATATGTTTAACCAAGCAGCATGAATCCATATTGGGAACTGGAGGAATTATGCAGATTGTGTTGGAATCCTGCCCAAAAGAGGTTTGACTATGTTATCTTGTGCTAACAGGAGCGCCCAGGGAGCAAGAGAAGCCCTGAGACAGTGGCAAGGGACACTGTGGGGCCGCAGTGTAAGTAACCTGTGTCCTCCCTCCCTCTTCAAATGAGAGCTGGGGTCCTGGAATTGGATCCCAGACATCAGCACCCTGAAATCCATGAGGTAAGATGAGGTGGGCTGGAAAGGCCTCAAGGGAGGAGAGGAGGCGGGACAGGAGGGATAGGGATGCAGGCTCTAGGAGGAGGGAGATGCTTCAGCATCATCCAGCCCATAGCTGTCTATCTCCTTCTCAAAATGAGATGCTAATGGCAGGGTAAGAGGATCGCTGAGAGAGAGGAAAAAGAGTACAAAGCTGTATAAGCCATAATGCCTGGCCCTCCCCAGACCTATTCTCAGAGGACAACATGGGATTCTCAGTGACAGCACTTAGGATGCAGGGAGGGTCTTTGTGCTTGTCATAAAGTGCTTATAGGCAGTGCTGTTTCAGGGGGAAAACATGCTTGAACAACTTCCTGGAATTTCCTGGAATTTCCTTCTCAGAATAAGTATGACAGATTGGCATTTTAGAATCTTGTGTTTGACAGTATGACACAAACAGATAAAACACAATGATGGAATCAAATAATAAAATAGGCTATGACTATGCATTTTCCCTCACCTATGTAGTAATAGAAACTATATTATCTCAGGTGCTTTTTAAGAACATTGCTAAATTGCCTTCCATTTTTCCTGGGGTGGCACTTGGTGGTTAGTACTGGGAGGAGCACAGGGAGGGTGGGCAGAGGTGGGAGCAGAGTCTAGCACCTATAGCTCTGACACCTGTCACTCACTTGCTATGGGGGTGAGGAGGTTGGGAGAGTAGGTTTTACCACCAAAAAAGCTTTTTTAAAAAGTGTATAATCCATTGAGTTTTAGTATAGTCACAGAGTTGTTCAATTATCACCAAAACCAATTTTAGAACATTTTCACAATCTTCCGGAGAAATCCAATATTCTAGAGCAACAACTCCCCATTTTCCCTGAACACTGCCATCTCCACCCCAGCCTAACCCTAGGCAACCACTAATTGACTTTTTTGTCTCTATAGATTTCTGGACATTTTGTATAAATGGCATCATACAATAAGTGCCCTTTCGTGTGACTATCTTCTTTTACTCAGCATGTTTCCAAGCTTCCTATAATATCTTTTTGTTTAGATGCATCCAGGAGGGATGGTCATGGTGGACCTGAAAGACCTGAACAGAGAGCCTTTGTGAGGAGCTGAGCTGAGCTGAACTGGCATTTGGAAGCAGAGCCTCAGGGAGACCCAGTTCTGATGGAATTGAGAGAGGGCGACGTGGGAGTTGGTATAAGGAAAGTCTTGTAGCAGAGGGCACTGTGACAGGTGCTCTCAAAAGGACCTTCAGCCTGAGAAGTTTAAGAGTTAAAGAAAGGAAAGAAACATGAAATGTGGCTTGACAGTTAAAGACAGATTTATTTTAGAGAAAATAAACCTGAGAGGGGCTTCTGGCTGATTTCAGTCAGGAGTGCTTGCTATTACAGACTAAGAGTACATGTTAGTTTTAGGGTGAGGGGGCTTATTGCAAGCTTGGAATATTTCTGTGTGAGGGAGAAGTTTTATGGTGGGATTGGAACGTCTCCAGGAGGAGGGGAGGTTATCTTGGGGATGACATCTTTCCAGCTGGAGGGGTGTTATCTTAGAGATGGCGTTTTCCCAGCTGGAGTGGGGTTATCTCAGGGCTAGCATGTCTCTGGTCGGGGAGGAGTTTGAAATGTTTCTGGTTGGAGATGTTATTTGTGGTTTAAGGTCATGCAGACCTTAGCCATTAGGCTGATGCCCTTTGGATTTGGGCGGTTTTTGATTAAGGTAAACCTTAGAATGAGGAGCTTGTCCAAGATGGTGATGCTTCTGCTCTGCTGAGAAGCAGCCTGGAGGCAGGTGGGAGCACTGTGGGTCCAGTTCTGGTGGTCTTTAAGAACAATCCACTAGGGATTTTCATTGGACAAATCACAGGGATGTGGGCTCGTTGGAACCTTAGATTTAAAAAGTCTAAGTAGACTTTAAAAGATCATCCATTCCAACTCCTTCATTTTACAGAGGGGGAAACGGAGACCCAGAACGATGAGGATTCCTGCCTATGTTTAGAAGGAATAAAATATATATTTAGTTCCCAATCAAACGGGGCAAAAATTGTTAACATCCATGTGTTCTCCTTTCCCCCTCCCTAAGACAGAGAAGGTAGCAGGTCAGCCCTCCCTGTTTCCTGGCCCATAACTGCTTCATCCACCAAAGGGGCTTGCGGTGCTTTATTAAAATGGCTACAAGTCCTCTGGCACTCCTTCATGGAGAAGCAGCCTGGGAGGCAGGTGGGAGCACTGTGGGTCCAGTTCTGGTGGTCTTTAAGAACAATCCACTAGGGATTTTCATTGGACAAATCACAGAGATGTGGGCTCGGTGGAACCTTAGATTTAAAAAGTCTAAGTAGACTTTTTTTTACAAGTCCTCTGGCACTCCTTCATGGAGAAGTGGGGTGTATGTGCCTTCTCTAGGCATTGGATGGGCTTGTGCTGGTTTTCACCTGTGATCAGAGCATGGCTTGGAAGCCCAGGCCCTCCAGGAAGTCCCTGTCTAGGTGCCCCTGTCAACAGCCCTCACTGAGCTGGGCTTTTCAGTCTACCCAGCCTGGGTACCAGATGTGGGGAAGTTTCCGGCAGGGAAGCCTTCAGCCCATGCCAATGAATTCTTCCCAGCTGAGGCCCAGACATCAGGAGCAGAGACAAGCCATCCTCATGCCCTGTGTCAGCCTGAAATAAGCGAAAGGATTGGAATCCGCTTTAGAGGTTTTATTCAAGCAAAAAGCTGGAAAAATGTTTTCCATTCAGAAAACAAGGATTCCACAGAAATGGAGCTAGTGCTTTGAAGTCCAAAGTTAAGATCCTGCTTATGTAGGAGGAAAACAAAGAAATTTAACAGGATTATGACATTTTCTATACAAGCCTGGTTTATGAGTTCTAACAATTTATAGTTTTTTTTTCTTTTCCGTATGGCTTGCTTTCATTTATTTTCTAACTTAAAGGAATATATTTAACATAGTCACGAAGTCTGAATTATTTATTTTCTCACCTATTTACATTCCAAACTCACAGCATCAGTGAGCATTAGGAACTGGTGTTTGGCAATGCTATATTTTGGGATGACCGGCTACATAGCAATAATAACTGGGATAGGTCTCAAGGTGCAGCTGCTTGGGCAATAATAGTATAAATTGACTCAGTGTTTTTGGAGATAGAGGGAATTTTGGTGGTACTCTGAAGAATCATAGATAAATTCTACACACAAAGGTGTTAATGAACAAGAACATGGGAAAATTGCATGATGCTGAGGTTTGGAGTGTAGATCCCGTCACCCCAGTAATAAGTATGGTACCTGATAGGCAGTTTCATTAGCCCATCCCCGCTCCCTCCACTCTCTGGTAGTCCACAGTGTCTATTTTTCCTATATTGTCCATGATATACCACTTGTCTGATACAAGGCAGCTGTGCTGTGAAAGATAAATATGGAGACCTTGATGCAAAAAAAAAAAAAAAAAGGTGGGGGGAATACAGAAGAGTGTTGATGGAAAAACCAGAACACAGAATTCTACATAGGCCTATGTCTATACAGAAAGAGAAACACATGAATCATTGCTTTTGTGTGAACAGTAGCTTTTGGTTGGCGTTTTGGGCTCAACTGCATTCCTCAAAAATACGTATGCTGAGGCCCTGACCTCCAGCTCCTCGAGTATTTGAAGATAGGGTCTTTAAAGAGAAAATTAAGTTAAAAATGAGGTCACTAGGGTGGGCCCTAATCCAATATGACTGGTAGCCTTACAAGAAGAGATTAGGACACAGACACGCACAGAAGGAGCCATGTGAAGACACAGAGAGAAGACGGCCATCTGCAAGCCTAGGAGAAAGACCCTGGAGGAAGCCAACCCTGCCAACACCTTGATCATGAACCTCCAGCCTCCAAGACTGAGAAAATAAAGTCTGCTGTTTAAGCCACCAGTCCGTGATACTTGGTTATAGCAGCCCTAGCAATCTAATACAGCTTGTATTGTAGAATTGTTTTAATTATTGAGATTTAAATTGAGCCAGGAATCCTTAAGGCCCGCAACCTCAGTGATGAGCACTTTTTGTAACCTTACTGCAAAGAGTGGTCAATGGCCTCTTAAGGCATTAGAATAATATTATTGTTTATGAACTTACTTGGGCAGCTTACAAGCCATAGGGGGTTAAATCTAGCAGTCTTTGAAAAATAATACAAGAAAGGCTATGTGCTATCACAAGTACTTTATTATTTCATCTTCTGAAAATCTGCAGAGCATATGTGTGAAATTTTATCTCTATTTAGGGTGTTGTTGCTTCCAAAGGCTCAGCTGCTCTCCTTTAGCTGGTGGGGAGGCAGGGAGGAGGAGGGAATCCACGCAGCTCAACTGTGTTGTGATTTACTTCTCTTCGAATCACATTCCCCCATGGCCTCAGGCTGTGTGTGTGGCATAAAATTAGCCTTATAAGAGGTCCCAATTTTAGGTTTTCTTCGCCTGGGGGGATGTAAACTTTTGATTAATTTTACTCTCCCATTCAATCTGGGCTTCATTCCTCCAAGCACCCAGTTTCCTGTGTGACACAGGGGCACAGAGGGGACTGGAGTTGCCCTGTGGTGTGGAGAGAACAAATATTACTGCATAGATGCCTTAATGCCCACCTACCTATTGAAATGGTCTCAACTGGTAAGTTGACATAAGACAAAACACAAAATCTTCGCAAAAAATGAACTTAGAGGAATCCTGGAAAGGGAAAGACTATTGGGCCTCCAGGAAGTCACTGTAGCCCTGACCATTCACTTTGATCCCTGTTCTGGAGGGTCACTTCCTTTCAGGGCGTAAAATGGATGGTTATCCTTCCCAGGTGTCACTATAGATGTCTGCCACCCCTACTCACTATCGCCTAGGGGGAGGAAGGCTGTGGTGTCATTTTGTGTCCTCGGCATGCTGCTGGCAACACAGCATTCATTGAATGAGTGAATGTGTTTTTGAACTGAACTGGAGTCCACTTGCTCAGAACAGCAAAGCCAAACACTGACATTGAGATTACAGTCAGAGAAGGGGAGGCATTTTTTGCAGGGTGCCAAGCAAGGAGAATCAGGGAGCTGGCACTTAAAACCCAAACTCCCAGATGGCTTACAAGTAAGGGCTTTTAATGGCAAGGAGGCAGAGGTTACAGGCAAAGTCATAAATCTATACATCACTCTGACCTAAAAAAGCAGGACATCTCGAAGTGGGGACCCACAGGTCAAAGGTGGATTGAAAGATTTTTTGATTTGCGATTAGTTAAGGAAGCAAAGCATTGTCTAAAAATTTGGGATTAGCCTGGGTGCAGTGGCTCACTCCTATAATCCCAGCATGTTGGGAGGCCAAGGTGGGGGATCACTTGAGGCCAGGAGTTCAAGACCAGCCTGGGCAATATAGTGAGACGCCATCTCTATGGAAAATATTTTAACTAATTAGCCAGGCATGGTGGTACATGCCTGCAGTCCTAACTACTTGGGAGGCTGAAGCAGGAAGATTGCTTGAACCCAGGAGTTTGAGGCTGCAGTGAGGTGTGATTGCATCACTGCACTCCAGCCTGGACAACAGAACAAGACTCTGTCTCTTATAAAAAACTTTTTTTTTTTTTTAAATCAGCAGAAAAGAACGTTAGCTCTGGCTTGTAGGTGTGACATCCTCCAGAGCCCTCAGGAAGAAATTTAGAAAAAAGAAAAGCCGGCCGGGCGCGGTGGCTCAAGCCTGTAATCCCAGCACTTTGGGAGGCCGAGGCGGGTGGATCACGAGGTCAAGAGATCGAGACCATCCTGGTCAACATGGTGAAACCCCGTCTCTACTAAAAATACAAAAAAAAATTAGCTGGGCATGGTGGTGCGTGCCTGTAATCCCGGCTACTCAGGAGGCTGAGGCAGGAGAATTGCCTGAACCCAGGGGGCGGAGGTTGCGGTGAGCCGAGATCGTGCCATTGCACTCCAGCCTGGGTAACATGAGTGAAACTCCGTCTCAAAAAAAAAAAAAAAAAAAGAAAAAAGAAAAGCCCTCAGAGTTCAATCCTCTATTTTCTCTTATCTGAGGTCTACATGCCAGCAGATCCATTTGTTTGGGGTCTGGGTTTTTAAAAAGCAATTCAGGGACATATGATCTCTAAGAGGGGTCCCTGCTGTGTCTCAAATGAGTGAATGAACAAATGATTTACTCTATAAGCCCTTACCCAGAGAAACAACAGATATACTCTAAGAATACCTACATGGAATGGGACGAGAGGTATTTTCTCATCCAACTTGGCTGCCGAGCTTAAGTTTGCTTTGTGTATTCACTGTATGGTCTTCCCCAAAAGTCTGCGCTTCCATGAGTGAACGCTTTGTAAATGACACCCCTGCTGCCTGAGCCCACATCTCCATCCTTCGACCCCCAATCATATTTTTCTGTGCTCCACTTCTTTCCTACCCCCAAACCACCTGGGTTGCGCCTCTATCCTCTCAGAGCATGGCAACCTAGTGCAGGATCCACTGTGGCATGGAAATGGGTTTAGGGACAGAAATTTCCAGAGTCAGAGAAGTAACGAAAAGAAAAAGGACAGAAAGGCAGAGCTAGAACTTTGTGAAGAAGCCATAAATGAGCTTGTTTTCATTTCAACGTGTTATAATGGCTACTTTAATTCATTGGATAATGAATACTCAACTGAGAATGCTTTCTAAATTTAATTTTCTGAGCCTCAGTTTCCTCATTAATAAAATAGGGATAAAGCATCAATCTTTCATTAGCTTTGTAGTGATAATTAAATAAGAGAATAGACTCAGAAATATTTTATAAACTATAACTCATTATGTGGCCGGGAACCGTGGCTCACGCCTGTAATCCCAGCACTTTGGGAGGCTGAGGCGGGTAGA